GTAGGTGTCGACCGGCTATCCTCACAGAGTTGTCATGTGTGTGTTCACAAATGAACCTCATAACCCTTCCCCCCAACATCTGCTTTTTTCAAGGATAAGAATAAATATTTCTCTCTCCCACACTCCATGAAATTAATAAAAGAGAGTCTTTCTGTTTTTGCACTTGAAAACTAATAAAAAAATTTGAGCTTGTGCGCATTTCGCCTTTTAAACTTGGTGATGGTTTATTTGCATCCATTCCTTTTGGCGTATTTATGTTACTTTTCTTTCAAACTTCTCTGCTTATTTATTATTTTACGTGCTACTGCTGCATCTTTTATGCAGGGGTCTGTTTAAAAGAAATTTAGGTCCGTTAACGGACCCCTTCATAAAATAATTTATCTTCTAATCGAACCCTTCACAAATTTGTTTGTCTTCATTATTGTTTTGTTAATCGAATAAACCCTTCTCGTAAAAACAAAGAAAGACGGTTCGAAACGAACTAAGTTTCCCTAAGTTTCTAACTTTAAATTCCAAATGTAGTATTCCAATAATATTTCTACTGTTACAAAAATCGTATGCGCGTTCTTATTAAATATTTTTTTCGCAATTAAATAATTGATCAATTTATATTTATTTATAAAATTAATTAATAGAATATTACGTAAATAAAAATTAATTTCAGGCAATTTTTTAAATAAAATATTATAAATTTAAGAATTGTTTAAGTTTACTTAACGCGCAACACATTAAAAGTGATACATTACTAAGTTGTGTTATTTAAAATATGTCAATTGAAAATATTAAAAATGTGAGTGATTGAGAGCATGCAATTGAATCGCAATTTTTCTTTCAATTAGATTTTATTAAATTTTTGCGAAATAACGAATATCTTGTATTTCTATTTAATGGTTTGTTTGCTAAACAACAAAATAAAAACATTATAAGGAAAATGGCTCGTTTAATAAATGATCAGCCACAGTTAATATAGAAATTTTTAAACTTGTTAGCCTACTGACACTTGATCCTTATCAATCGTGTACATTTTATATTTAATTCTATTCAATATATGATCACGCAAAATCATTTTCAAAAGTTATCGTATTTCTTGCATATTTAATATTCTTTTGAAAGGAAATCTGTCTAAATATCTGTTAGTAGTATTGTATCGAAAGTAGTAATATTCAAACATTAGGAAGAATGCCAGTGTGCTATTAGTCAATCCATTTGTTCTACGTGACAAACAGTTTAAGACAATATTCATCATTTTCTTTCTTCACTCTCTAGGGTTGCTTATATGCCTTTCTTAACAAGCACGAGTCTTAAGCCAAAATAAATGTTGCGCAATATTTACGTCATAAATGAAAAAGTGTTTGATGCCAGCAATTGTCTTCTTTGGCGTGAGTTTCCATCTAGCATTTACGCGACATTTACTATGAATTGGTGATTTTTTTGTGATCTTTTCTTAGTACGGCTTTGCTTGTTTGTGGATTTACAAAAAGAAATCCAAGTTCACGTAACTTACTGCTGGATATTTTTTTAAATATTGTAATACCGGATAATGAAGTTTCACCTGATTAGAATTTAAAATTCTTTTTTTGCCCACTCTCATTAAATCTAAATCAGTGTTACTGCCTTTTCTTAAATACTCGATTTGTGGCTTACGAATTAAAAATGTTCTCTTGTTTTGGTATTTCTTTTATTTATGTCGAACAAATTACTTCAGTACTTACGTCAAGGAACAAGGGCGTTACTATTACACTTTTATTAAAATTTAAATAAAGTATAAGATTTAACGTTTGATGATGTTAGTGTTAAGTTAGTCGTACTGTTTGACGAATATTCGTTTATCTAAGATTACTGCAATTTGTACCCAAATTATATACAAACTTTAAAATTAGCTTTAAAATTTCGCATGATTTTTAATTTATTGTTATTTTTAATTTATTTATTTCATAAATCAAAAATTTTCGGTCCATATCTTATCTTACTAAAGAAACAAACCTAGTATAATATTGAAAATGAGGAAAAAAAATACTTCTCTTAGTGTTTTTTTCACCTTGCTACAAGAAACAAGTATTCCCCTGTAAATAAGTTTTCACTTTCACTAGACTGTCTCTGCGGGAAAGAAAAGTTAACGCAAGGGCAGTTACGGCTGGCAGCGTTGGGGCTCATATTACCTAGTAAAAACCTGATTACGTTTCTCGTTCGGATATTCTCGTGTTTAAAATAAAATCAATGCGCATAAAATATTTTTTTACTTAAAGCTTTTAGATTTGGTTGTTTTTAAGAATGACTTTTTAAAAAAATATATCTATACAAATCATTAAATAATTAGTGATTTAATTTGTAGTTTGGAGATTGTTTAAGCCAATCAACAAACAGCAATTTTTTTATTTGTTATAGTGAAATAAATTCTTTACAATAATAATTTCTCGATATTTTAGATGAATATTTTTACAAATGTTACTATGTTTATAAAACATGTTATACATTTTTATGGTAATTTCTTACTGATTCCTATTTTTTAATTAGCATTACTTTGGCAGAACTTACTTTGATATTATCTAAGAACTGTAGTAACAAATAAGAAAAGTGCTAAAAGTTTTCATGAATGATTATTATTGTTTGTATTACGTATATATATATTACGTAATTACATTAAGGAGATATAACATAGTAAAAGCCTATATAAAAAAAATTTTTTTTTAATAATTTTGCGATGGTTGTGATAAATCTTATACATTTTTTTTATCGTATTGTACGTATTTTAATCTTAACTCTGCCATGCTAAAAATACAAAAAAATGTTTTAAAAAATAGTGTTATCTAATACAATGTTTATACTTATTGTTCAAACTATTCATAACTTGCTGTACTTACAAGTTGAAAAAAACTCATCCAAGTTTGATTAATTAACTTTTCTAAAACTACCTGAATGTAGTTTTCATTGCATTTAGTAATTTTAAAAAATAAATTTTCTTTTTCACAAAATGGCGGTGCTTTGAAATTTTTTTTTTAAAAACGACATAATAGTTACATTTTCGTAGATAACTTAAATCCAATGAACCCAATTAAAAACATATCCCTGCTTGCAGCGAAAACTATATTTATTGTGAGCATTGTGTCAAAATTTGAAGTAAATCGATAGAAAATTGTACTAGTTAGAGATTCAGCAAATAAGAGAAAAATAGTTTCGAATGAATTGTGTTTAAAGTTTTGCGATCAATAATGTACATAAATATATATGAAATTTTGAAACTAACTATAAAGTATAAATACCAGGTCTATATGATGTTTCTTCTTTTGTGACGCTTCATATATATTTAGAGTAGCAGTTGAAATTCTACCGTCATCTTTTATTCAAACTTATTCTGTGGTTGCTGGACTTACATTTATTTCTAATTGTTCCAAAACTGTCTATAACTTATGCTACTTCATTAAAAATTATTGCAGTTAAGTAAGTTGCGTTTTCAACTATTTATATTAAAAGCGGCATTATTTCCTTTTTTTATATAATTTAAATAAATTATTTCAATAAAATAGTTAAAATGATAGCAATTTACTAAGATGTTTTGATACGTGTGGCAAAATAAATTAATAAACATTTTAGTGTGTTATTTCTTTAACTCTTTTGTGTTTACTTTTTTAAAACTCTTTCAGGGGCTGTTACCTTAGAACTTTTTTTTACCACTTATTTTTGACTGTGATATGAACCACTAAAATTTTTATCTCTTAACCAACGTGACTTTTAGTCAACCACTTTGTTTGGGAAAATGTTATGATAAAGCAAATTGTTGCATTGCGGATGTGCATGCAATGACCACAATTATCTTGTATTTCCTTGATTAATTTTTTTATTAACATTTTCTGCCTCGCAAAGACTTGATGTTTTTAGATTATGTTAAAATAAAAATTGTATTCCATTTAAAATACTATTTTAAGCTTTAGACTTGATGAATTAAGTCTTAAACTCTTCGAATAAGTCACTCTTTTAAGTGTCTTAAATAAGCGATTTCTTTGTGCAAAAGAATTAGTGAGAAAAACTTTTAATTTAGTCAAGGTTGTATTTATTATATTTCATAAAGCTTTATTTTTATTTCTGTGAATACATAGAGTAAGTTTAATTTAATAAAAGATAGAAATTTATTCAAAATTCAGTAGTTTAAATTGTTTAACCTTTGACTCTTATTCCTGGAACATTTCCTTTTATTTTGCCTTTAGAAAATATGGCTATTAATAACTGGAATGTTTTTTTACTTCTAAATTATTAAAAAAACATGATGAATGTTCACATTCTGTTCAATTTAAATGACAGAATTTTCTGCTTACTTTTTCTTTTTAATGCATACACCGAATCCCCAGTCATTGCAATTGATATGAGAATTATTTGAGCTAAATTAATTTAATTAAAATGTAGGAAGAAAATGCTTTAATTTTTTTATTTATAAATATTTTTCGTCGAGAGGAACTTAAAGTCTACAATCCAACTTAATGTAATTTTCAGTAGTTTGTTCATTTATGGATGAATATCATTACGTAAAATCTATGTATGTCGATTCATTTTATGAATTAAAGCTATCAATTAAGTATTCGATAAAACGTTCGTTGTTAAGAATCTAAGAATCGAACTTTCCTGAATGCTGGTACTGATTTCAAGTTTGTCGAACTGAATTATTTTCATCACTCGTTTGCTTTTATTTTATTGATATATATCTTGTTAAAACCGGTTCACTTTGAATCGCAATAATAAAATGTTGAACCAGGATGTCTCGCTATGTTTCTTCTATCTTAAAAACAATATAACACTTGATATAAAATGCCGGCTACTTTTAAAAAACAGAATATTTCACCCTGGCGTTTTACGAATGAAAAAACCACGCCAACTTGTTTCTTTTGAACGCAGTTCTATGTATTTTTTTGTTCAATAATGATACTAATTATGCTTTTACTCTTGTGTGATATAAATCAGTGCAATCAAAAGAGAAGTGATTGTTAATTTTCTGTTCTATTTCTTTCCAGGGACGATTCTCGCGTGCATCCTGCTAAGGTGCGTGTCAAGTTCATCGAGAGTCAGCATTTGGCGCAGGTTGCCTGTGCCCCACCCTCACCAGACGTCACGTTGGACTTCGGATCTGACACCATGACGTCCCCCGCATCAGAACATTCGCCCGACTACCACAGGCAGATCAGGTACACCTTTCACTTGGTGACGCCCCAAGTATTAGAGACCTGTCGTTTAATAAAATTAAAAAGGCTTCTTAGCTTTATGTTCTTATTGTTAGAGAGAGTTTGAGAATTATTATTCTATAAGAAAAATGTCTTTTGAATTAAGCAATCTCTAAACTGTTTAATTTTATTTTCTTCATTGCATCTGGTCTGGACTATACGATAGNACCATTTTATCATATTACATGTACTATAAATAGGGCCCTATAAATGATGTGAAAATTGTTTAAAAATTATGCGGCGATTTTTAAAAATTGTGCGGTGTCTTTTAAAAATTATGCATGCAGGTTGCGAATGACCCAGAAAACAATTGAAACTGGGAAGAAGAAAAAAATCTCTTAAAAAAGTTCAACTTTCTTTCCTGCTTTAATAAAAAAAAAAATTCAATGAATACAGTAAAGATTTCAACTAAAATACCTTCTTATGTATTGTACATCCATTTTCTACATCAGAAAAATTATTAAAGTTTATTAAAATGGAGAGAAGTTAGTCCAGAAGCTGCGCTTTCTTTCAAACTCTGTCTTTGTTTTGTGAAAATTTGGCCGTAGCAGGATACAGCTCTTTCACAATCTACTGAATTAGGAAGCACTGAGAGCCCTTGTCGTGCTTTTTTTGTAAGTTCTGGAAATCTCTCTGAGACTACCTCTGAATTCCAGAATCTAATTAAGTCCTGGTTTGAACATTCTTTTACATATTCTTTGTAAGCAGCATACTCGAGTTTTATATCTTGACCACTCATTCCTGGAATATTCTTGAATACATCGTCGTCTTCAATATTGAGGTTGACTATTTGTTCTGGATCGAAAACTCGAGCAGCTTTCATGAAGTTTAATGCAGGTTGACTAAACTTGGGCCCGCGTTTTTTGAATACGTTTAGTTCTGAAGAGTAGTAAGTATTCAACTTTGCAATTGTTTTGTGAAACACTTCTTGAAGAAATACGTTGCGTGAATCTTTTCGTGAGTATGATGCTTGAGAATTACATCGAAGTTTAGACCGCAGATCAAAAATCTTATAGTAAGCTTTGTGAATAGATACACCACATGTTTCGAAAAAGAGAAGAGTATCCATTAATATCTGAGCGTGTTCTGCAATGAACTGAAAGTCTTTGCAAACGTCCACCTGTCCATAAAGATTCTTGGAATTGGAAAGAAGATATATTTCAATTGAAAAAAAAAACCCTTAAGGAGAAATTTATCTGGTAAACGAATACATTTTGCTGAAAAATAAAAATTATACAGATATGCTGCGATTACGCAGAAAATTGTAAATTATGCGGATAATTGTGAATTATGCGGGTTTCCGCATCTTCGCGTAATTTATAGGGCCCTAATTATACACCATTAGCATTAAATGTAATTCTGGTCCCCCAAGAAAAATTTAAGGGGGAGGGGGGATAATTTTAAGATTATGTCGCTTACATCCTTTAACTTACGTGCACCCTTTAACTAACAGCTTTTAACTTGCTCATTTTTAACTTTCGGAAGTCGAATGGATATTTTGAAAGTTGACTTCTACAAAATTGTTCTAGACTCTCTCGAATCCATTTAGTCACAATCATCTGCTGTGATTTGATATAGTTGCCACCTCCGTATAATAGAAAACAGATTTCATAAAATTGGGGATAACATTGATTTGTGAATTTTGCGATTTGCCTTATTCAGATGTATTTACGGTACAACAATTTTTGTTTTTATAAATTCAATTTAAAATTATTTTGGACCATCTCGACCTATAAATGATTTTAATATAATTATGAATGATTTAATATATTCATATGGTATCGCTTTTAAATGTTAACGAAATTTTAAAAGAATTCTGCAAACTTTAACGCTTTTACTTTTTTTCATAGATTACCACTTGAAACAATATGTGGTAAATCTAATAACTACAACCAAATTCATGATATACATGCGGCCTTTTTGCTGCTCGTGGAATGAGCGCTTTATTCCAAAACTGTTAACTACTAGGTATCTTTGTTTCTCGGTTCTACATATGTTTTTTAGTTTGTAAATTTTATGATTTAAATTTTTACTGATTAGAAGCAACTTAAATAAAGCGTTCTTGTGTTGTTTATAAAAACTTTTGGACAAGCCAAGATCGCAAGCTATTGGCCTTGCGAAAGAGCGCCTTTCGTTGGACAAGAGAGCACCTCTAGGGTGACTTAACTCAAAACCCTCTAGATAGATGGCAGCACCACTCATTTATGGAGAGATGGGTTGATTCGGTGGAATCTGATTTTCTTGCAATTAATGACAAAAATTGAAGATCAAAGATAAATTGGAAGTTATGAAGAAATCTTCAGAGGAAAGCATTAGCCCACATTGGGCTGTCTGGCCAACTATGATGATGATGATGATGAAACTCATATTTACAATTTTTATTATTGTTGCTACTATGCATAGATGTTATGAAATTCATTTGAGAATTTTTAAACTTAGCTTCCATAATTCTATTTTATTCTCACGACGTTTATATTAGGATTATTATAGAATATGTGTGCCTCACAAAATTCATTCAAAGTAGTCACAAAATTCAGCCAAGGTAGTGTTTCGTATCAATAAAATTATGAATTTTATTTTTTAATCCTAATTTGCTAACACGCAAACAAAAGTCTCGTGAAAAAACAACTTATTTCTAAAGTGGGAAATACTCCTTCCAAAGTTATTGCGTGTATAATTTATCAATGTCGTCAACTTGTTCCAGATTGTTAAGCTTCTAAAACTTACTACTTGCTTAATTCACGCTTTCTTGTTTGACAGACAGGTATTTAAACCCAAAGTGAGATTTTTGCCTTTTCATGAAACCGCGGCTAAAAATAAAAGCAGCTTTTCGTACAACACGAATCAATACGTTTACTCTTTTAATTTTTTCCCCCTCTTTCATTTATAACATTGGCAAAAGTTCTCGGAATGCCATACTATTTCTGAGTTGCCAATCAAAATAAGGAAGTCGTTGTTGAACTACATAAATTTTTTTTTAGCTTTGTTGCTTCTGAGAAATGAATGCAAGGTTAATATGACATTAAAATAAAATGAGATGTTTAATCATCAATTTTTATTTACTGATGGAAAAGTTCAAATTTAATTACGTTTAGTGTTGGTAGATGGCGCAACGTGACTCTTGGAAAAGGAAATTCTTTGGATCACTGTTTTCCCAGCCTTGCTGCTTGTCATTTTTGTCGGTGTTCTAATAAATTTATCCTTTGAATATATTTGTTGAAATTGAAAAAAGGGTTAAATTAATGATCATGGTATGATGTTGAAATTTCGTATCAAAATTTTTCGATTCACAGATTAAGTTAGTATTCTTTTATTTATATAAAACGCCGTAAAATAAATGAGGTTTTTAAATTAAATGAGGTTTTAAATTACTCATTCGATTTTGTAATCTAGCTTAAAACGTTGATGTGCTAATGATAAAGATTCATGTTTAAAATTCTATTAAATTTCTAAATTAGATAATAAAAGGAAATGTAATTTTAGAGACAAGGCTTTTTGTGTGATTCATTTTAGTGTGAAAATTCTATTTTCCTGTGTTTACGAAAATATAGCTATAAAAATCTTATTTTTCCTCGCTTTAATTTGTTTACATGAATTTGCCGTTGAAATATGTAGCATTCAATTTTAGAACAAACCCTATCAATTTTAATTTTTAAAACTATTTGCGAATAAAAATTAAAATAATAATAACAGTAATCGCAGCTTGTACAAATTTTTCATTGAATTATTTCATCAAAATTTATTTTGTGTACAAACTTTTTCCACTTAAAAATTACATCGAAGTTTATTTTATTTTAAGTGTGTAATTTTTATTAAAAAAAAATCAGATTTCAGAAATCTTAATTTTTTTCATAAATAACCTCGCAGCTGAAGTGAAGCTTAAACTTATAGTACGTAAGATGCTAACGTGAATAAGTCTTGTGTAATTTCGAAATTGTTATTGGAAAATTTCGAAATGATAATAATCTCTTGCTTTCCCTTATTTACCTTTAATTTGATTAAGATTGAGATTTATTTAAAAAATTGTTTTCGGTTAAATGTGTCCTAAGTTTTTTAAAATTATTTTTATTTTTTTTTTGCAATTACTGCTATTAATTTTAACTTAAATACTGGGAATAAAATTTAAAAAATGCCCAAAAACTGCGAGTAATTGCGTATTTTTTCTTATCTTTTTTTTAGCCATTTTGAAAATTTAATTAGTAGCAGCTTCGATTTATTTTTTGTAACACCTCTTTTCTTCAATTAGTCGAACTATGAATAAAGAAAAAAGTTCAGCCCTATTAATAATTCATTCTTACTAATAGGAATTTTTTTTTCATCCCTAAATTGACTTTTTTATGCTAATTGGAAAAAAAAAAACATGCACTATGTGTTCAATACGTAACAGCGGCAAGATTTTTTCTTTTTTCCCCCGTCTGCATTTTGTTTAATTAAGTTAATTTTCAACATAGGGTAAATGAACTAGTTATGACTGCGAGAAATTGAAAAATGAAAATAAGATTTAAAAGATCTAGAAAAATTTGAATAAAAATGTTTGAATTATTAATTCGCCGGTGACTCAATTCTTTCAAAAACAATTAAACGATTTTGACAGACCTAAAAATTTATGAATTAAGTCATAGATACCATATATATACTATACCATGTATATAGATACCTTATATATACCATATATATACTAGATATATACTAAAACTTGAATACCATATTTTATTTTTTAGCAAACTGAAACTAAACAAACGGTTATAACGCAAACTTAATTTAGTTTGAAAGGAAAAATAGGATTATAATTAAATAAAATATAATATAATTAAATAAACTGAAGCTTGAATTCCATATTTTATTTTTTAGCAAACTGAAACTAAACAAACGGTTATAAAGCAAACTTAATTTAGTTTGGAAGGAAAAATAGGATTATAATTAAATAAAATAGAAGGAAATGAAACAAAAATATATAAAAATAG